ACCCAAAAAGTTTAAAAAAATGTCTTAATAAAATTTGAAATTCATGAAACTTAGTTCATTTAACGTTAAAATTACTTCTAACAGGAAAGTAAGTTCTGCAGTGAATTGGAAATCAAATGTTTTAAATTTCTATTGTTTTAATTTCAGGAAATAACTAGATATATGACTGAAGAATAAAGTAATTTTAGTATCCAAAAAACGTATTTTAATGAGTCCGATACTGAGTAGTATCGATACTTTTTCCCTAATACTTTTAGGGTATCGATACCATGACCTCGATGCTAGAATGAGTACTCAGTATCGATACCAAAGTCTGAAATTTCGAACCCTATATACACACGAGATTTGGAAGTTTTTATCCAGACGTCCAATCGACATGTTTGAGATATTTTATATACACGAGATTTTGAAGTTTTTATCCAGAGGTCCAATCGACATGTTTGAGGTATCGTTGGAAAAGTCTTGCAGAGTGTGTCCAGAAAATGTTCAAATGTTCAAACTTCATAAACGATTAATTGGATTCTTAAAAATTAGACTAAATGTTTCCAAACAAAAAACATTTTTTTAGGGCTGTGCGATTAATTTATTATTCAAAATTTTAATTAATCATAAAGTAAATAACTAAGTTATTCGATTAATTGGAAATTATGATTACTCAAAAGTTCAGTTACTCGAGTAATCAAGATTTTGATTAACCAAAAACAAAAATATTTGAGTAATCAACATTTCAAAGTACTCTTCACATACATACATATAAAGCAATTGAAGTTCCTTGATACTTTGAAAAAAACGTTTCTGTTTTCAAAAATTAAAATGAAATACATACATACATACATATTTTTTTCATATACAGAATATAAAAAAGAAAATAAGCATTTTCCAAAGCAAACTCTTTTAACGAGCAAAATTAATTTTTTTGAGTAATCATATTTCAAGTAACTCGATTAATCATCGTTTTGAGTAATCAAAATCTTGATTACTCGAGTAATTGATTAACCGAATAACTGATTAACCAACTTGCTCGAGTAATCGAATAATCGCACAGCCCTAATTTTTTTGCTTTTGCCGGTTTAAGGGGGTATGTGGATGCACCAAACATATTTAGTGTTATTCTATAGGCCAATACCTTTCAAACGTTACCTTATACATATATTAAGTTCCGGCTACTAGTTGGAAAGAGATATAGCTAAATGTGTTTTGGTTCGTGTCTTCATTACGAGATGCTTTGCGATGTCTGTAGCGTCTGTACGTACCTTCTTTTAATTTATTTCATACTTTCAAGAATTAAAATACCAAAAAAACAGGAAGGTTTTGTTCCACGATGTTTCGATTCGTAGGCCTTTGTGAGCGTGGCTGGTGCCTGAAATTCGAAAAAAGGCAATTTTTTAAACTACCACCGAGGTCGCACCACTTATTCCATGCCATTGAAGTGGATATCGGTAGAAGGGTATTTAAACAAGTTATCTAAATATAAATATATCATAAAGTTATCGCCTGAAAACAAAAAATCGGCCTGCTGAAAATAGAGATTTCGAGCATTTTCTCAAAAACTGGTCAGTCGATTTTATTCTGAGTTACCAAGTTGATACGTTTTTATCATTTCTCATAATTTTTTTTTTAAATTTTCGAATACAAAGGATATGATCATACTTCTTCTCTTTATTCCGTATTCGAAAAATTATATGTTTCAATGGACACATCGATTTGAATACATAATTTAGATTTAGATGACGTTTTTAGCAATTTTATTTGAGAAAAATAAAACATTTAGATTATTGTTTGTATTTTGGTCGATTTTAAATTTACTACCCCTAAAATAATTGATATCAAATAAAACACCTCTTTGAGGTAAAATTTTCGAGTGACGAAAGCTGAACTAGAAACACAAAATTTATGATATCAATTTCCTTTCTCTGGTATGTGAAGTGGCGTTATAACAAAATCTTTCTATTCTCTTTTATCATTTTGTCATTGTCTCACGAGTCGTCCAGAACTTTCGATTCGATTTCCAAATAGCTGGCAAATCCTTCACATTTATGTTTTTAAAAACACGCCGGTGGGCAGCTTTACCAATGACTAGCATCTGCTGCTTTTCGCCAGCCATGTTTATACAAAATACAACTGTTAGCCGTTCTTTGGCTAGTTTTCCACCTACACAAGTTTCTCCCTTAAAAGTCAAGGTCTGGTTTCATCAGCATTATAGATATCTTCTGGTTTATAACCAAGCAGCATGGTAGGGATTTTTTGCAAAAATTGGTCGAGCTTTTAAATTAACAGACGCCGCTTCGCCTAAAAAATTACAAAAAATACATTTATGCACGAAATAGTGAAAGCCTAATTCTCTACCTTGAATGCTTTTGAAGCTGATGTTGTTTCTTTTTTCCCATTTTTCGAGCCAACCATCCGAAGCATTGAAATTAGTTACGCCTAACTGCTGTGCGATTTCAAGGGCTTTTGCTTTTATAATTGGCCCTGATATTGGAATTCTTTTATTTCTTACTTGTGCAAACCAATTCAGACACAACTTGTCTATTTGCGACCCATTAGAACCAATAAATCTCCGTTTGGTGTTTAAATTTCCGCCAGAGCACCATTTTAATTTTAATTCATCTTTATTTTTTAAGACTTCCGCAGCTTGAGTTTTGCTAATACTAAATTTAATCACAGCACCCCTAACATATAGATTTTCTTTATGCGCAGCATTAATAATTTCTATTTTTTCTTTTAAAGACAACACATTTTTACGACCCATTCTTGCTTCTTTAAATTACATCTGCGAACTGGCAATAACCTTTGCATTTACATTTTTTTTCTAATTATTTTGTATTTTACTTTGAGGGGATTCCCTGAATTATTTGTTCGAGTTTGCATTGTTTCGAATTCTCAGGAAATTGTCGCACAGTGGGCAAAAGCTGTCCGTAAATAGTTTAAGTGTCCGGTTAACAGAGATTCGCGTCCGCTTAATAGAGCTTCGGGTACTTAAAAAACTATACTTTTATGTCCGCGTCCGTACATGGGATCGTCCTGTTAATAGAGCGCACTTTCTATGAAAAATGTGCCAAAAAGCTTGGGACCATCAAAATCGCCCGGCTAAGGGAGATGTCCGCTTATGAGAGCGTCCGTTTGAAAGAGCTTTCACTGTATATATATATTTCATGATCCAATGATCGGATCTAAACCAGATTAATATGGGATCACCTCTGGGAGACTACTTTCCGATGCAAAATTAACGAAATCGGTTGACGTGGTCCAAAGTTATGCGGTAAGATACATAAAAAAAAAAAATATTCCGACGAACTGGTAACACTCCTTTTTTGGAAGTCGTTTAATAACTCGTGAGATTTTCTCATATACATGGATATGTATGTAAATACCAACGTTTAGTTCCGCAAATCAAGTTTTACATATCCTGTGACTGTTCTTATTGTATACTAAAAGAATTAGATATCAGCATGTGACTGTACTTAACATAAAATACAAACAATGGGGCATATTCATAGCCGAAATAAATTCGACTCAAGAAAACTATGTCAATATGATGGTTTGAGTAGCAATTCCTACCCCATTCATGAAATTTAGTCATGGCGACAAAGTACGGGCACGCTCGTATATTTTTAACGGACTTCCAAAAAGGAGGAGGTTACCAGTTCGTCGGAATATTTTTATACCCGAGCGCACTTGTGCACAAGGGTACATTAACTTTGTTCACATAACGGTTGTTTGTAAAAGCCAAAGCGAATCGAGATAGATATAGAAAAATGTATATATAAATGCTCAGAATGAATAGAGAAGTCGATTAAGCCATTCCTGTCTGTCCGTCCGTCTGTCCGTGTACACGATAACTCGAGCAAAAATTGAGATATCTCAACGAAATTTGGTATGTAGGGTTCCATTTATCCAAGGAACGTTGGTATTGAAAATGGGCGAAATCGGACTGTAAAACCACGCCGACCTCCCATATAACGGTAATTTTCAGAAATACGAAAACTGCGATATTTTAGTAACAACTGAAGATTACTCACTCAAAATTGATATTTATAATAATTTTTAGACAAAAAATAAGAATATTATAAATTTTTGAAAAATGGGCATAGCCACGCCCACTTATGGTTACATGTCTATATCTTGGCAATAAAATCGGGCAATAACCACGCCCACATTCCATATAAGGGTAATTTAGAGAAATACGAAATCTTCGATAAATCAGTAAATATTAAAGCTAATTTATTCAAAACTTACGCTTGCAACAATTCTTTGCCAAGAAATACGTTTATGATAAAATTTTGGAAAATGGGCGTGGAACCTCCCACTTATGATCACATATATGTAACTCGGTAACCGTTCTACCAATTTGTACCAAACTCGGTATTTTTATTGTGCTTGCCGCATGAAAGCAAAACGCTGAAAATTATTTTAATCGGACTAAAATTACGGCTTTTCATATAACGGTTAATTCTAGAAATTCTTGAAACTTCAATATTTCGAAATCTAAGGACGCTAATTTACTCAAAATTGATACATCCCGGCTTACCATGTAGCGGTAGCTTTCAGAAAGGTGAAAAACATATATTTAATACTTGCGCCGAGTATTTAATATTCGGCTCTGCCCGAACTTAGACTTTCTTACTTGTTTTTTTGTTTTTTTTTATGTATGTTACGGCATAACTTTGGACCACGTCAACCGATTTCGATAATTATTTTTTTAAATGAAAGATGTCACCTCACAGGTGGTCCAATATTATTTTGGTTTACATCCGATCATTGAATCATTAAGAAATTAACGATAATTTTAAATTTTTATATGAGAATTAAAGTCGGTTGTGTTTCTTGCTTAAAAATTACTTGTTTTTTTTTGTCGGAAGATAATTTTCTTGTTGGTCAAATGAGGTCGATTTATGGCCGTCCAATTGACTCAATAGCTTCACATAATAATCCGACATGCACTTTATTGTACTAGAGTTGATAGCGCTATGAAATTGCATACCAAAGATTTTCTAAAAAATTAGAATAAAAAGTGTGAAATTTTGATGGAAATTTGTTGATTTTTTTGATTTTTGTACGAAGTTTGAAACTTGGATTAATATGTGTTAGAATGAAGATAATTTTTATAAAAAAAAAAATCATTAATAAATAAATACTCAAAACTTGTCAATATGTGGGTGTCGTATAATTATGATAAGCGCTATATATTTTGTTAATGCATTGCTGCATACATAATTAAGAATTTCTTTACATTTTCGCTTCATTTGTAAGCCGACCGCAATTTATATGCAAATTGTAAAAAAGGTGGGTATAATAAGAGCAACAACCGAAAATTAACAATAGTTTCAGGCAAATGCAGTAACTGGAAAAGACAGCAATAGATTTCAAACAGTACTCCATACGTTCACATTTATGTTATAATGTCTCCTACATTTGTATTGTATGTATGTACAGTAAAGGCCTGCATGAATTCATTCAAACTTCTAGCCAAACAGAGTACAGTAGATTTGAATATTTTACTTCACATACAAAACACTCAGTGTTTGGAATTTTGTAAGTTATGAATATACATTTTGTTTTAAATTTTCTACCTTCAAATGTAGGAATGTGAATGAATGAATGGAAAGCATTCAAATCATTCAAGCTTATTTTGGTAAAAGTTTTTTTTCTATAAACAAGTTTTTTCGTATATATATTTTTGGATATCCATACAAAAAATTGTCATTAATTTCAATTTAGTTTCACTTTGTTTGAATATTGTAATGTCGACACATAACAAAATCAAACAAATTTTAGGCAAAATCATTCATTCCTTTGTATATGAATAACTCATAAGCCGTTTTGAATGAATTCATGCAGCCCTTTAATGTACAGTAAATTAAACTTAGTCGAAAATCATTAAACTTTTGTTAAGGATTTTTTGATTATTTCAATAGAACTATTAAAAAAAAAACTATTGCTAACCGTAGGTGTCACCCTAAAATGTAAAATGGCGAATCCTAGGTACAGCCAAACAATTTTTTTTCGAAATNTAGTTTCACTTTGTTTGAATATTGTAATGTCGACACATAACAAAATCAAAAAAATTTTAGGCAAAATCATTCATTCCTTTTGTATATGAATAACTCATAAGCCGTTTTGAATGAATTCATGTCTTGCAAAAATATTTTCGACTCATGCGATGTAGGGTGCATTTTTTTTGTTTGCTTGTAAGGTGGTACGGTCTAATGTTGGTTTGTTGGTTGGTTGCAGTGCTTCATAGTACTACTATGATACAATTAGCGCATTTGCGCCATTTTGATGCACTTTCGTGGAAATGATAAATTCCTATGCATGTCTAGTTTTCTGGGTCAAACCATCTTGACTCCCTGCTGAATCTGCCGATGTCACCTTTAGTAGATCCTGATATATCTGCTAGTTTTGTTTGTATGTGTCTAGCTAATGCTTTAGGCCTAATAGCCGCTAGGCCTGGGCATTGACAAGGAAAATGCTGAACGCTCTCCTCGCTACCCTCAATTTGACAGCTGCGACAAGCCCTATTATATGGGAGCCCCATTCTCTATGCATGTTTGTCTATGGGCCAGTGGCCCGTAATGGTTGCTACAATTTGAAATATTGCTGCCCTTGATCTATTAAGCAAGTCTAGTGTCCTCGTCGTGTTATAGTCAGGCCAGAGTTCTGAGAAAAAAAAAACGCGTTGTAAGAATACAAACTTTTTATTTGATTACCGTTTAAAAATCTTCGTATTTAAATCAAGTGAAAAGTCTTAACAAAATCGATTTTTCCATTTTACACACAATACCTATAATGGAAATATTCAATTCAAATACGCCCGTATTAAAATTAAGCATTTTTCACTACACGGATGGCGTTTTGCACGTCTCGGATGCTTTTTCATATGTAATTAAGAAAGTATATGTATACAAAGCATGCACAGCGGTCACACAAATACATGGTATGACATAATGCACTAATCGCGCGCTGTTATGTTGATTCAAACTCAAAATTTGAAAACACATTTACATGTATGACTGTAGCTGAGTGTGCAAAGACGCTTGATACAATTGGTTGCGGCCAAGAGGGTCCGGGTTCTCAATTACCATCAGACGGAACATAAAATTAAATTTGTTCCCCTCTTAATAAGCATCTGTGCACTTCACAACCACATATCTTATAACGTATATACTCAAATTTAAAACGAGTTGGGTGGGTGCGCTTTCATATGCGTATTTTTTTTAATTTAGCACGTTTTTTTAATTCCAAAATTTTTTCCCCTGAGTTTAGCTATTTTACAAGTCCATATGCCCAGCCACCTTCTCCTTGCCAATCCAAGAAAGTGCAAACCAATTTCTCTTTAAACGAATCCAAGGTAGGCTCTTGCCTTCGCCAATTCGTCGGTCAACTCATTGCCTTCAATGTTCCTGTAGCCGGAAACCCAGACAAGAGAAACATTTATTGACGCCAACACTGAGCATAATTCCGTTTTACACTTCTGGACTAGCTGGGATTTGGTTATCGGAGATGCTAGTGCTAACAAAGCTTCTTGGCTGTCAGAGTATATTGTTGCCTTCTGAATTCGGCTGATGCCTTTTCCTAGAACCTTACCAGCTGCAAGAATGCCAAAGACTTCCGCTTGAAAGAAGTTTGCCTCAATTTCTAGACGGAGGGATGACGTGACGCAAAGTTCCTCGGAGCATACACCTGCTCCACACCACAGGCCATCTTTGAGCCGTCGGTGTAGAGAAAGATTGCCTCTTTATCGGCCACTCTGCCCCTCCTTCACTCTCTTCTGGAAGGGATTCGCACCCATATGTTTTCGAAACTGAGATTAGATA